ATACTTAGTCATAAAGTAAGTCTTCACAGATACAAAACAATTGGAATAACCCTCTGTTATCTTTTTAAAAATTAAATTAATTAATTTATTTTATATCCTGGCCACAGCTTCCCCTCCCTTCTCTCACTCTGTAGTTTGTGTTGTTGTTGAACTCCAACTTTAATCTATGATGATCTGATAATATACAGGGGTTAACCACACAAAGACTCAACAAAGAAAGAGAATTATAGACCAATTTCCCTCATGAACATTGGTGCAAAAATATTCAATAAAATACTGGCAAACCAAATTCAAGAACATATCAGAAAGATCATCCACCATGAGCAAGTAGGCTTCATCCAAGAGATGTAGGGATGGTTCAACATAAGAAAATCCAACAATGTAATCTGCCACATAAATAAATTGAAAGAAAAAACCCCACATGATCATCTCATTAGATGCTGAAAAAGCCTTTGACAAAAATCCAACACCCCTTCATGATAAAAGTCTTGGAGAGATCAGGGATATAAGTAATATACCTAAATATAAAAAAAGTAGTATACAGCAAGCTGACAGTTAACATCAAACTAAATGGAGAGAAACTCAAAGTGATTCCACTAAAATCAGGAACCAGACAAGTCTGTCCACTCTCTCCATATCTATTTAATATAGTACTGGAAGTTCTAGATAGAGTAATATGACAACAAAAGGCGATCAAAGGGATACAAATTGGAAAGGAAGAAGTCAAACTTTTGCTATTTGCAGATGATATGATAGTCTACATAAGTGACCCCAAAAATTCTACCAGGGAACTCCTACAGCTGATAAATACCTTTAGCAAAGTAGCTGTATATAAGATTAACTAAAAAAAAAAATCAGTAGCTCTCTTATATACAAATGATAAAAGGGCTGAGAAAGAAATCAGGGAAACAACACCCTTCACAATAGCCACAAACAATATCAAATATCCTGGGTTAACTCTAACCAAGCAAGTGAAAGACCTATATGATAAGAACTTCAAACCTTTGAATAAAGAAATTGAAGAAGATATCAGAAGATAGGAAGATCTCCCATGCTCATGGATAGGTAGGATTAACATAGTAAAAATGGCCATCTTATCAAAAGCAATCTACAAATTTAACATATTCCCCATCAAAATTCCAACACAATTCTTTACAGACAGACCTTGAAAGAAAATACTCAACTTCATATGGAACAACAACAACAACAACACCCCAGTGTAGCTAGAGTTTTCCTGCCTGGCTCACCGTCAGGACAAATCTCTCTCACCTGCCAGTCCCACAGATGCTTAGACCCGACCAAGTAAACACAGAGACTTATATTGGTTACAATCTGTATGGCCGTGGCAGGCTTCTTGCTAACTGTTCTTACAGCTTAAATTAATCCATTTTCATTAATCTATACCTTGCCACGTGGCTCGTGGCTTACCGGCATCTTCACATGCTGTTTGTCATTGTGGCGGCTGGCAGTGTCTCTCTGACTCAGCCTTCTACTTCCCAGCTTTATTCTCCTCCTTGTACCACCTATACTTCCTGCCTAGCCAATGGCTAATCAGTGTTTTATTTATTGACCAATCAGCAACACATTTGCCATAAAGAACATCCCACAGCACCCCAGGATAGCTAAAACAATCCTGTACAATAAAAGAACTTCCAAAGGTGTTACCATCCCTCATTTCAAGCTCTACTACAGAGCTATAGTAATAAAAACAGCATGGCATTGGCACAAAAACAGACACATTGATTAACAGAATTGGGTCGAAGACCCAGACATAAATCCACACACCTATCAACACCTGATTTTTGACAAAGAAGTCAAAACTATACCCTGGTGAAAAGAAAGCATTTTCAACAAATGGTTCTGGCATAACTTAATGCCAGTATGTAGAAGAATGCAAATACATCCATATCTGTCACCCTGCACAAAACTCAAGTCCAAGTGGATCAAAGACCTCAATGTAAGTTCAGTTACAATGAACCTGTTAGAAGAAAAAATGGGGAATAGCCTCGAATACACTGGCACAGGAGACTACTTCCTGAATAGAACACCAGTAGCACAGAAACTAAGATTGACAATTAATAAATGGGACCTCATGCAATTGAAAATCTTCTTTAAGGCGAAGGAAACTGTCGATAGGATAAAATGGCAGCCTAGAGAATGGGGAAAAATCTTCACCAACCCCACATCCAACAGAGGGCTGATCTCTAAAATATATAAAGAACTCAAGAAACTAGATATTAAAAAATCAAATAATCCAATTAAAAAAGGGGTATAGATTTAAACAGGGAATTCTCAACAGAAGAATCTCAAATGTCAGTGAAACACTTAAAGAAATGTTCAACATTAGGGAAATGTAGATCAAAACTGTGAGACTCTAAGATACCATCTTATACCTGCCAGAATGGCTAAGATCAAAAACACAAATGACAGTTTATGTAGGAGGTGATATGGAGCAAGGGGAACACTCCTCCATTGCTGGTGGGACTGCAAAGTTGTACAGCTGCTTTGGAAAGCAATATGGTGGTTTCTCAGAAAATTAGGAATCAATCTACCTCAAGACCCAGCTATACCACTCTTGGACATATATCCAAAGGATGCTCAATCATACCATAAGCACACTTGCTCAGCTATTTCATAGCAGCTTTATTTGTAATATTCAGAACCTGAAAACAACTTCGATATCCCTCAACTCAAGAATGGATAAATAAAATGTGATACATTTACACAATGGAGTATTACTCAGCTGTTAAAAACAATGACATAAGGAAATTTAAAGGCAAATGGATAGAACTAGAAAAAAAATCATCCTGTGTGGTGGTATTGTGTTCCCCAAAATATTGTGCACCCTAATAAATTTATCTGGGGTCAGGGGACAGAACAGCCACTAGATAGACATAGAGGCCAGAAAATGGTGGCACACACGCCTTTAATCCTACCACTTGGGAGGCAGAGATCCATCTGGATCTCTGTGAGTTTAAGGCCACACTGAAAACAGCCAAGCATGGTGACTCATGCCTTTAATCCCAGGAAGTGAGCCTTTAATCCCAGGAAGTGATGTCAGAAAGCAGAAAGGTATATAAGGCGTGAAAACCGGGAGCTAGCAGCATTTGGCTGGTTAAGCATTCAGGATTCTAGCAGCAGTTCAGCTGAGATTCATTTGGATAAGACTCAGAGGCTTCCAGTCTGAGGAAACAGGATCAGCTGAGGAACTGGTGAGGTGAGGTAGCTGTGGCTTGTTCTGTCTCTCTGATCTTCCAGTGTTCACCCCAATAACTGGCCTCAGGTTTGATTTTATTAATAAGAACTTTTAAGATTCATGCTACAATCCTGAGTGAGGTAACCCAGACCCAGAAAGACAAACATGGTATGTACTCACTCATAAGTGGCTAGTAAAGGATAACCATGCAACAATCCACAGATCCAGAGGCTAGGTAGTAAGGGGGGGCAATGAAAGATACATGGATCTCCCTGGGAATGGGAAATTGAGGAGATCTCTTGGGTGAACTGAAGGTGGGTGGGGATGGGAACCTGATGGATTGGGTTGTGGGGTGGTTGGAAGGGGAGAATACTGAAAGAGATGACTGGAAAAGGGGCACTTTTCAGAGTCTAGTAGAAAATCAAGTGAAACTCATACGAATCTACAAGGAGGATCCCAGCTAAGACTTCTAGCAATAGTGAATATGTAGCCTGAACTGGATGTCTCCTGTGGTCAGATTGGTGACTACCCCAGTTGTCATCAGAGAGCCTTCATCCAGTAACTGATGGAAACAGATGCTGAGACCCACAGCCAAACATTAGGCTGAGCTTGGGGAATCCTGCTGAAGAGGGGGAGGAAGAATTGTAGGTGCCAGAGGGGTCAAGGACATCACAAGAAAACTTACAGAAACAACTAGCTTGGCTCATAGGAACTCACAGAGTCTGAACCAACAACCAAGGGGTCTGCATGGCACCAACCTAAGCCCTCTACATATATGTGATAGTTGTGTAGCTTGGTCTATCTGTGGGACTCCTTACAATGGGTGCAGGGCCTGTCCCTAATGCTTTGACTGGCTCTTGGGAACCTATTCCTCACACTGGATTGCCTTGCCCAGCCTAAATACAAGGAGATGTGCTTAGTCTTACTGCAACTTGATATGCCATGATGATATCCCCAGGGAAGGCCTGCCCCTTTCTGAACAGAAACCGTGGAGGAGTGGATTGAAGGGGGACAGAGTGGAGATGGAGGGAGGGAATAGGAAGAGAGTAGGGAGGGGAGGCTGTTGTCAGGATAAAAAATAAAAAAAGAAATTAAAAAAAGAAATGAGTCAGGGTCTCATTCAGACTCAGCATCACACCAAAGGATGTTTGCCAATGCTTTAGTATGTTTGGCATGCCTACAAAAATAGACCTTGAACCAAATAGACCATAAATAACAGAAGTGTACTTCTTATTCTGAGGCCGAAGGTCTGAGACAAAGGTTCCAGCAGTTTCCATGTATTATAGAATTAATTTCCATATTTATGGACAGCTCTGTTTCAGTATGTCTGAGAAAAGGGTCTTCTTGGGTTGTTTGGCAAAGACACTAATCCCAATTATGAGGACTCCGTCTTCATGATCTCATTGCCTTCTGATACATTGAGGTAAAGATATCAGCATGAATTTACGGGACATACCCACTCCACAGCAGGTAACAAGAGGGTGACATTTACCACATGTTGTCTAATACCAACCTCTTTTTTGAGTCCCTTTCATATTTGATTTCATTGACCCTCCCACCTGAGTTTAGGTAGGTGTGTACTTTGAATGTTTATGTTGGAGGAAGTGGAAATACAGGGACTCAGGGTCTTGTACGGGTAGTAAGATGCGGATCCAGAACACATTTAGAGAAGGATTTATATATGGAATAGTCCCTGTCTTAGTCACTGTTCCATTGCTGGGAAGAGACACCACGACCATGGCAATTTTTATAAAAGAAAGCTTTTAATTGGGTCTTGCTTACAGTTTCAGAGGTTAGTCCATTGTTATCAAGGTAGGGAACATGGCAGCATGCAGGTAGACATGGTGCTGGAGAAACATCTGAGAGTCTATATCCTGATCCGTAGGCAGAAAGACAGAGAGACACTGGACCTGACATGGGCCTTTGAAATCTCCTTCTAATCCTATCAGAGAGTTCTACTCCCTAGTGACAAAGCATTCAACTATGCGAGCCTGTGGGGAGGCTGGTCTCATTCAAATGACCACAGTTCCCATTCCTGCAGCCTCAGGCCTGGTGTGAGTTTGTATGCACATGAGTTGGTTTGTACATGCATGCCTGTACATGTTCTTCCTGTGTTATCATGCATATGTGTACAATGTGTTTGAGGGACTGTGATGTGAACACATACATGTGTGTGCATCGATACTTATGTGTATGTGTGAAGTCAATTGTGTGTTTAGGGTGGGAGGAGGGTGTCTAAGTTCACTGAACAGTTTTCCTCAGTGTGACCCTGACACCCCTCCTGAGTGGCCTCTCCACTTTTTGCTTCAGACTCCTTGTGCTTTGACCTGAGTTTATCCAGACCATGGAAACAAAAGGGGAGGAGGCAGGTGGAATGAACCATGGCATGTTTATGGGATGGTGGAGGCTTGCAAGGAGGCAGGAGATAGTGAGGAGTAGGGCTAGGGCAGCACATCACCTGCTTTGCCTATAGGATGCCAGTCATTTTGTGTCTGGGAGGCTGGGTGGAGAGCAGGGGGTCGGGAGGAGAGCCTGGAGCTTCTCTCTGCATAGAAGATATCCTGCTTGTGGGCTTCACATTGAAGGAAAGCACTTTTTTTCTGTAGTTGCAATATGTTGCTGTCCTTGTCTACTTCACCTGCCAGAGAGCCTTGGGGTCACATAGGGGCTGTAGACTGAGAAACATATCAGGGCCCAGGAGCTAGAATAGGGCCCAGAAGCTGGACAGTGACCATGCACTGCCCCCTCCCCTAATTACGCGTGTGTCTCCCAGCCCTATCCCAGCCACTCCAGAAATGCTGAAGGGTTTCAGGATGTCCCTGAGAAGGCATCTTACATGCCACCACCAGGGAGGGTTGAGAGGGAGGTGGTAGGCCCACCTTGATGAAAGTGACAAAGCCACTGTAGAGCAGTGTGAGCAGAAAGAGGGCCACGAAGGTGCACAGTGTGGGCCACAGGCCGGTCTCCTCATCTAGGTCCACGTGGTTGTCACTTTGCTCCTCCCTGATGCACAAGTTGGGGATGGTGTTGACCATGCCTGGGGAAGAAATAATGCTCATGAGAAGGGTTCCACCCTACGGCGGGACCATTCCTTATTAACCCGCTCTCCTGCCCACTGAACCCAAAGGTGCAGCTCTCTTCCAGCAGCAACATTTTGCTCACATACCCTCCCCCACTAGTACTTACCACTTTCCCTCATAAGTGCCTACTAACTGCTTTGCCCCACAGGGACCTGCCACCCGTCTTTCCCCCACAGCCTGCTGGGTCCTGGAGTCTCACAACTACATTGGTCTGTGTGGGATCTGGCAGATCTGAACCTAAACGTGATGTGAATACATGCCACCTGAATGGTGCAGGAGATGAGTTGCTACTTCAGAAGACCTAGACACGGTGGCTAGATGAGGCAGGCTGTCCAGCAGAGGCCTTCTTAGGAAGATGTGGCATGAAAGAGACAGAGAAGGGGGAGTAACATTCTAAGAAAAAATAGTGTGCATGGTGTACCCATTGAGAAAGAGCATTACCCTGGGAGTCAGAAGGGACCCCTGAGCCTTGGCAGGTGGAGGGGGAGATCTGAAAGCATCCTAGCTATGGAAACTTAATCCTAAGGGTAATAGGAGGAAATAGAAGATGTTAAGGAAGGTTATATCATTACTACATGGAAATCCCAGCTGGAGACTGAAGTGCAGCCTGAAGCCAGACATGGTGATGGCTGATGTGCAGGTCTAGGAAAACACACTTCCATAAGGACACACCCCAACTTAAAGTGTGAAAGTCCAAGGCAGGTGGGTCACAGGGCTGCCTGGGTGTCCACTCCACAAGTGCTATTTAAGGTTACACTTATGCTCAGCCAGAGTCACTGTGGAGTCTGTGGATGGGTTAGCCTAAAGCCATTTCACCAGATGAAGGCGGTAAGTCCTGCCAGGCGGTGGTGGCGCACGCCTTTAATCCCAGCACGAGAGGCAGAGGCAGGTGAATCTCTGTGAGTTCGAGGCCAGCCTGGGCTACCGAGTGAGTTCTAGGAGAGGCACAAAGCTACACAGAGAAACCCTGTCTCGAAAAAACCAAAAAAAAACAAAAACAAAAAACAAAAACAAAACCCAAAACAAAACAAAACAAAAAATAAAACCAAAAAACCCCCAAAAAACAAAAAACAAAAAAACAAAACCAAAAAAAAAAAAACAAAAAAGAAGGTGGTAAGTACTGAAATCATGTGAGCATTATAGACCATTGAATCTTAGCATCACAAGAGCCACTCAGCAGTCTCCCTGACCCATAGTTTCCAGTTTCAATTACCTATGGTTGGAGAACACGACATTGAAAAGTCACTTGTTTTAAATCACACAGTCTGGAGCTATGTGATGGGCTCTTGCTCTGCCTGGAATGCCAGCCCTCCCTTTGTCCAGGCTTCAAGCTGCCCACATGCCTGTCTGTTGGTCAGTCAGGACCCACCTTAGCCACAGGCTGATTGTCGAAGTCGTACAGAGCTTGACAATACCCATGGTTTCAGGCAGCCACAGGAGGCCTTGGGACAGTTCCCACAGAGACAAGAGAAGGTGAGAGGATGTTTGTGTTTATTCGCTTCATTTATTTGGTGATCATTTCTTACTGTAATTTACAGAAGTACTGCTCTACAGTCTACGAAGAATATAGAAGAGTAACTTTCTTTGCCACATGTAGTATGAGGAGACTGAATACAGAGGGAAATGAGTCAACCAGACAGTGGACATGATGGCCATTCAGCATAGAAAGGTCTCAGGCAAGGGCAGGAATAAAATACCTCCTGGGAGAGCATCTGACTCTGCCAGCAGTCAGTGGGACCCTAGAGTCATGGGAAGAACTCACGTAAGTGAGAAACAGTGGCAGGTGGTTGAGTAAGAGGGTTCCTAGTAGTAGGTTCTCTCTGGGCCTACTGTGGACAAAACGTGCTCTGGCAAGACCTTGCAGGGGGAGAGGTTGAGTTCCACTCTCATCCTCAAAGGTCTGGGACTTGTTATAGCAAGGGAAACTATGAATGTTGTTCCAACATTTCATACACCCAAGGTCTAATTCCATGTACTGTTTCTGTCTTGGTTATCAATCATTTTGTGTCTTGTAATTGCTGCTTACATGTTAGACATTAAACACACATGAATTGTAGAGTCTGGGGTGAAATACAGGTGCACATCCCCTCCTTCATCGGGCATGAAAGGTCTTTTCTTTGGAGCTGGGCACTGAGCTGGGTTCCTTGCTTTAGGTGCTTTGGGATGGAGTCAGTCCATTCCATTCAGCAGGCCTTGGAGACAAGACCAGCAAGCTCTGTTCCCAGGCACTATTTGCTAGCAGTATCCTATGTGGGAGGTTGTGTGAGTGGTGATTAGCTCAAGATTGGGGGCTTTTCTGTATTCACATTCCTCTTGCCAGCTAAGGTAGTCATTAAAATTTTGGTTGATTTCTTGATGTCCTCTTACAGATGGCCCACTGTTCTATCTGTGCCTAGGACAGAATGAAGCAGCCACCTTCTCTCACCTGGGAATGCAGTCTACCTGAGCTTTGTTGATTCCTTGGCTCACTAGTAATTTTAAATGAAATTGTGATGTTAAAAATTTACTTGGGGCTGGGTGGTGGTAGCCAAGGCCTTTAATCCCAGCACTCGGGAGACAGAGCCAGGCGGATCTCTGTGAGTTTGTGGCCAGCCTGGTCTACAGAATGAGATCCAGGACAGGCACCAAAACTACACAGAGAAACCCTGTCTCGAAAAAAAAAAATTACTTGGTATTTTCTTTTGCCATGGTCTGAGTGCCTAATCAAATGTTCTTCCATGTCTATGCAGAAACGCGATGCTTAAGAGATTGATTGCCTTGGCAGCAGAGTGATGGATGGATGGGAGTGGCAGAACTGACTTCATAGAGACCAACCAGGCTGTATTGGATAGCTCAGAGATACTCGTGGACAAAGTGAGAACATTGTGGTGCTCAGGAGCTAGGGTGACAGGAGTGTGGAGGACAGGGTGTTAATATTCTGACCCACCCCTGGGATCTGCCCTATGTCCTGACATAGAAGCCTCTTCTTAAGGAAAACTCCACCCCTTTCTCTCTCTCTCTCTCTCTCTCTCTCTCTCTCTCTCTCTCTCTCTCTCTCTCTCTCTGTTTTCCTTCCCCCTCTCCTTTTTTCTGTCTTTCTACCTCTTCATCTCTCTTATTATAATAAACTCTCCATGTGGATGCAGCGTCTGGGTTGTGTATTACTGGCTGCCGCTGCTGCTGCCATGACCAGCCCCGCTGCATCTGCCCAGCATGTTTCCTTGCATGCATGGGATACCCTCCGGGGTCCCCCCTCGTAATACCATAACACAGGGTTTACCTAAAATTGATATGTTGGGGACACACATCTTGACCGGATATGATGATGCCTGCAGATGCCCCCATAGCCTGCTCCATCCCCAGCACACTCATACTTAGGGGCTCTCAGGTGGAGCCTGTCTGGCCCCTTCCAACCCCAGCTTATGTCAAGTTTACAGCAATCCTGTAGGCTCTCCAGCAGAGAGAGAAATGAGGCAAATGACTCACTGCCTCCAGGTCTAAATTATTAAAGACACTAGCAACTTTGTGGTATGGGATGGTATGTTTCCTATTGTAGTATTGGTTGCTTTCTCCTTGCCAGGGGTGATAGGAACTCTTGCCACCAAGTCTGAGCTGTCAGAGAGCGGAACATTTTTGGAGGAACTCTTATCTAACTCTAATTCTAATCTTCTTTTGCATGGTATGAGGTGGCATGCCTCCTTGAATTGGATCTACAGTATGTGGTTGCACTCAAATGGATGCCAGACTAGAGAACATATTGTAACCCTTGAAAATAGTACACTTGGGATGCCATAACAAGCTGACTGTGGTACATTTTGCAGGGACTTTACAGTGCAAGGTAAGACATGTTCACTATGGCTAGGCTACCTGCCTAGAAAATCTTGCTTGTGTAAAGAACGAGTACAATGGAAAAAAGGCAGACAGATGCTGCCTTCCACCTTGGTCTCTGATTCTGAAGGAAAAATAGAAAAAAGAAAGAGTGTGATAAGACGCTGTTTCTTAGAGCTGGCAGGGGATAAAGGAAAGAGTACAGACTAGATCTCTGCTAAAGAGCCTTTCTTGAGATCTGAAACTTGGAACCCATGAAGAAAATAAGACAGTGAAGAGGGGAAAGTGTGGGAGCCCGTTCTCGGGTTCCTCGTGGGTTTACCCAGCAGGTCCGCATAGAGGATGATTAGGACCACGGGCCTGAGTGCAGGTGTCTGAGATGGTCTGCACTTGGCTGTGCTGGGGGAGGAGGTCTTTTGCTCCACCCCTCGGTGTCTCTATAAAAACTCTGGGGCAGAGACAGTCAGGGCCCGTTGGAATAGGTTCCAGGCCCTCTCGAGGAGATCCTTTATGTTCTATCTGTTTATCTCCGCGATATTCTCCGCAATAAATCCTTCTATCTAATATTTCCTGCTGCTCGCACTCAAGAAAACTCTGGGGAACTGCGGGGGTGGTGGGTAAACGCCCCACAGGAAAGCAGGCCAGGTTCTCTCATAGCCTGGAGACATAGGACATGGAGGAGGACAGACTTCAGTGCCATGAAGTGGAGAAACTGAGAAACGGAACTATTCATCCTTCCTTGAAACAAAGGCTGCATTTATCTGGGGTCACACATGGGAAACCATTCCATCAATATCGAGCTCCCTCCAAGAGGGAATGTTTTAATTCAAAGGAAACAGCCACACAACAAGGGAAGGAGAATACCAGTTAGGCCTTTGCTAAACAGCCTTTCCTGGGATAAAAATAAAACAAATAAACAAAAGTTTTCACACATTAGGGATACTTGATAATTGCTGGCTGAGGTCCCCATGAACATCAGAAATGACTGAAAGACAGTTTAAAGTCATTGCTGAAATAACTAGACACATGAGAAGTAGTGTTTAATGCTCAATTCATTGAAGTGAGTAGGAATATGTTTATTGGAGAGTCAAGAAGGGGGTTGACTCAGCAGGGATTAACTCAGGATTAGGCTTCAGTGGCTTTGCTGAGCTCCATTATGGCATGCATCTTTAAGAGGTAGGTGAGACTTTGGTAGACCTGAATGATTTAGAAAAACGTGTAAGTAGGGTTTGTGAGGTGCTAAAACATTTGGGAGGATATTAAAAAAAGGGAGGGGGCAGATAGTGGGAGTTGTACAAGTCACTCAAAAAATGTGGCAAGATAATGTGCTAAGCCAACGTTTCTAGAGAAAAAAATGACAGAAAACCAAATTCTGTGCTTGTGAATCTTTGAAGGCTAGAAAATAATGAAAGCTTCTGGCATTCTCTTGAAATACTATGATCCTCTGCATGCTGCACAAACAGATGAAGTCTGTTCCTGATTATGACATCAACACATGAATTCATGATGGGCAAATATATAAGCCTACCAGTCCATGTGGGATTGTCAGATGGACTTCATAAAGGCCTATGCCTCTCAGTGAGGATCATAAATGTGTCCTCACCTACATGGATATTGCCACAGGCCTTTCCCAAGCATTTCTACATAAGCAAGCAATGAGAAAGGCCACCATTAAGGGTTTTATCCAACACAGTGTTATATATAGGCACCCATAGATAATTGACAATAAAGGGGGAAACCATTTCACAAACATTGATAGGAAGAAAGTGGCTGATGAATGACCAGAGCCAATGATACTTCCACCTGCTTTATAACCCTATAGTGGCTGGGTTGATAGAAAGAAGCAATGAGTCATTAAAAGGAGCCGGAGAGTTTAAACATAGAAGGTACTATGTGTAGGTGGAAAAAGACATTCCCCAAATCCATAGTTTGTTGATTGAAAGTCTCAGTGCCAGGAATGGGCTACCTCTGTGTGGATTATTGGCCAGAGAGGGCCCTGAGGAGTCACAAACCACAGAAGCTATCACCATGGATGCTAGTTGCATGTCAGAACTAGATGGTAAGTTCCTACTGCTAATGACTCCACAAACTTCGTCTGCAAGACAGAGAAAGCAGGCTAGGACTGAGGTGGAAGCTTCCTGCCTTCTGGCTGGCCTTTGTAGTGCTGGGAGATGTGACACAGGCCAACAGCCTTTCTTGAACATGGACTCTGAGGGCTACACTAATCAACTTACCATGTAAGATCTGCTTTCTAGTGCAATAGCGGCATGGTAGTTATGGGTGCAACCAACTTCTTTCCTGTTGGATCTAAGCTCTGTTCTACAGCAGGGAATTCGCGTTCAGTATCATAAATTAGGGGAAAAAAATCTGTGGCTGGGGAGGTCATAGGTTTCAGTAGAGAAGCAACTGCTATTGTTTGTTAAAAGGATGCCATGGACTTGTAAAACTGGATGCACGTATTTGTATTTATGCCTATAGACTACTATTGCTATCAACCTCACTTATGGAGGGAAGCTTTGCTTCACAGTGAGCAGTAGTGGTTATTGGGGAGATTCATACTTGGTCAAGCTGCTGATAACAGGCCACTGTTTCTGTGGAGCAGAGGCCCAAGAAAATAGGTAAACATCTGTAAACATCACTCTCTCCAGGGTTCAGTAAACACCATGGAGGAAGGGGCTGAAAGAATGTAAGAGCTGTAGGAAGGGCGAAGTGTTGTATAGTTCTTTCTTCTGAACTGAAACAAATAAACATAGTGTTCCTCTTCTCCAGACAGTGCAGACCTCTCCTCCCCAAACAGATAGTATTTCTTTATCACAAGCACCCAGTGATATACTTGCTTAACATTCTTACCCAGTTGTGACTTACCGCTAATATCCAGGCTTTTGCTGGCATTAAGCCTGGTCTGCGAGGCCTCATGTTCCACCACACATGTATAAGTGTTAAGCGAAGCTCTCAGAGGGACTGGTATTCTCAGGACACTCCAGGTCTGGAATGTGTTGCCCCCAGGCTGCTGGGTGGGGTATGCAGTGGCAAAGTATGAAGTGTTCATTTTACTTTGGAACTTCAGCCATATTAGATGGATATCTTGGGGGAAGAAACCGGATACCTCACATATGAGCCACGATGACATCTCAGGATGGGTGGGTGTGGCCAGGAAGTTCACAGAGAGGTTGCTGGGTGCTATGGCCTCTGCAAGAAGTGGTAAGAAGCTTATTATCTTGTCCCACTTGGCTTGAAAGTATCTCGGGACTTGTGAGAGGACAGAAGACCCCCCATCTTCTCATCTGACTACAGTGATGGCCTGAGCAGTGTTGGGGGTAGCAGGACATATGGGTAGGTGGGACGTTAGACAGCCTTGAGGTGAAGTGGGGACAGGTTTCATGTAGATCACAAGGCTGCTCCTGTTTGGAGCCAAAGGGCTTGGTGAGTAAAGGCCTACTCTGGAGACATCCCATTTCTCCTGGTCACTGCCTGACTCCTAGGGAAGCCCAGTGCCTCCTGAACAGACCCAGGCTTTGTTACTATGTGACTTCTCTTCTTGCCAGTATTTGGGAATGTAGACCAGGTTTCTCTGGTGCCCCATCTATTCTCTATGTCCTCCATTCTGTATTCTGAAGGTCAGGCCAATCCTAGGCTTTCCATCTTCCAACCTGGTTGTGTGTGTGTGTGTGTGTGTGTGTGTGTGTGTGTGTGTGTGTGTGTGTGTGTGTGTGTGCACTTGTGGTGGGGGGCATTGCCAGTGAATCAGTGGGTAGGGGTGAGACAGGGGACTATCCCTTCTCTTATACTTATGGGATACATGTGCTCAGGCTGCTATCATCCTGGAGCTGTAGAGACTGCTCTGGCTTGTCCCATGGAGCCCTCAGATCCTCCCTTAGCCTGAAAGGTGAGGGAACCTATTTTGTGAGTGGCACTGGTTTTGGAGATCCTAAGAGAGCCCTTTTTACCATTAATATGCCTCCTTCATGCTCTATGTGTGCATCTTCTGGTTCTTGTTCTAGCAGAGACCCAGTAGGCCCTCTTGGAAGTTCTTAGAGGCTACAGGTTTCTCAGTGTTCAAGGACATTCTTCTAAAACTCACACCTGCATTTCCAGGCTTACATAGCTAATAATCTATTGAGCTATTGATCTGCAGTAATCCCAGAGTTGGCTATAACACAAGAGTCTCTTCCCTCCTTTCCTTCTGCCTCTTCCTTCTTATTCTTTCAACTTATTTATTTTTGGAGACAGGACTTTTTCCTATCTGGCTTATTTCACTTAATGTAATGTCTTCATGGTTTATTTATACAGCAAATGCCAGGATTTCTTTTTTCAGTAGGATAGAGTCTCATGGTATTTCCTTTATCCACCCACTGATGGGCCTTTGGGTTGATTGCATGACAATGAACATCGGGGTACAACATCTGCTGAATTCCTGTCTTTTGAGCTTATACTCAGAAGCAGAATTTCTGGATTGCACAGTAGGTTTAGTTTTACACTTCAGAGGCCTTTCTTCTTTTGGGTGGCTATGTGGCTTGGGGCTGCACCCCCTCCCCCTGACAGGGTGAAGGAGCTCATCAGACATTCTTACAGGTATCAGGTAACAGCTCATTTTGGTTTTAATTTATATTTCTCTGATAATTGGTGGCATTGAACATTTTTGATAAATGATATTTTAAGATATTTTCTCATTTTTAACCTTGGATTATGATTTGCAAATATTTCTGCAAATCCACATGTTGTCTCTTTGTTACGTGGGGACCTGAGCTTATTCTCAGTGTGCTACCGGCTGACTAGCTACACAGGAATTCAGGCTGGGGAGAACTGCAAACCTTAAACTTCTCCAAACAGAACTTCCAGTTTGAACTTTCTTGAGGTGGCTGATGGATAAGGGTGAGGCTTAGGGTCAGCCTAGTCAGGAACTGATACAGCGAGACAGTAGAGTCAGGAGGAGGTGAGGGAAACATGTGGGGAAGGAAAAGTCCTAGAGTCTAGGTGTGATGGTCTCCTGGCCCTCTAAAGAGATTTTTATGTATCTCAGAGTTCTGTTGTCTGTCTGGTCATATGCCTGCTGAGTCCACAAGGAGCTCACAGTTTGGCTCAGAGACACAGAGCTCAGGTCCTGTGGGCCAGGTAGGCCTGTGTACTGGTCCTTCCTCTGTTTATTTCTCATCTTAACTCAAAAAGGGATGATGCATTCGCAGAGTTAGGTGGTGGCATCTCTTGGTACCTGGATGGGGCCTGGCTTGCAATAGGTACTGAAGTCACTTTAGTCACCCGTTCTAACTAGGATGTACATTGACAGCTTGGAGAAGGAGTCATGGAGGGTTTCCTGGAAGAGGTGGTGTGAGGTTGAACAGATGAACTGGGGTGAGGTGCACTGGATTTCTTACCTACTATATTCCTTTTGGTGCTCATAGCTTTTGTGGCTTCTGTGACGTGCTCCGTTATTCGGGGAAGTGGAGGGCTTTTCTGGGAGGACTGAGTATTCTGTTTCTCTGGAATCAAAGAAGTGATGGACAAAAGGTTAAGGTGAGAGGACAGAGTATACTGAGGGACCCAGGGAAGCGGGAAGCAGTGCAAGGAGAGGGCCGCAGGAGTGAAGGGTACCGGTGTGGGAGGCTCCGTGCTCAGCTATTGCCTTTGCTCACCCAGCTGTCTCCTTGCACTTTTAGTACAGGGTCCCCAGGGCATGCTATAGGTGTTGGACTGATAGGGCAGTTGAGAGGAAGGAAGGGAGGGACCAAAGGAGGTGGTCTGTGAGCAAAGGTGGGGGTTGCTTCAGGCTTTGGGGTTAGCTGAGTGTGGGTATGGGAAGCCCCGTAAAACCCTTCTGCATGATTCAGGCTTACTCACCGGACCACTGGAAAGCCTTTTCAGTTTTCTTTCCGGGGTTGTATTCTATGAAACAAGTGTGGGTGCCGTTCAGTTCTGAGGTTCCCAAAGAGAGCCAGCTTATATAATTGCCATTCTTTTCTTTGTAATGGAAGGCCCTCTGAGTCCTGTAGTTTGAGTTTTCTTTCCAAGCAATTTTCAAAGGTTTATTTGAAATTACCAAGCAGGCCAAGCCCACTGAGTTCTTTTCCTTTGAGGCTTCGCACTCTGTGCCGAGGAGGAACATTTGGGGTTCCTTGTTAATTTCTGCAAGAGAGAGGGTAGAGTCTTGAGGACATGGGACTGGGGGCAAAGGTGGGACCTGGGCAATATCACTCCAGGCCAGACTTGTAAAAATGACTCATGGTCCCAAGCAGGCTGGGGAGAAGGGCTTTGAAGCCCTCTGGCTGGTCTCAGGAGCGCCTATCTCTCTGCTGCCATCATCTCTTTCCTGAACTCTCCTCGAGTTTCTTGGGAAAAGACCTACCCTCTGCTCTTTCAAACACCAGTAACCCTACCTCTCCTTCATGAATGTAATTCTCCCGTGACCTTGATAGGAACAGTCAGCCTTCTATATCCTCAGAGCCTCCTGAGCAGCTTGGAGCACCTGAGCAGAGCATCCTGGCTCCCTTTCACAAGCCATGCTTTGGGTCTCTCTAGGCTACTCTTCCTTCTCAGGTTCTGGTATGTCAGATATTTTTCAATGTCCCACTCCCCAGTATTCCAGAGATATGTGGAGGACATAGGTGTAGACTTGGGGTGAATTGTACCCCTCACAGATTTGCTTGCTGAAGTTCGAAGCCCAGAACACCAACATTCATTGTGCAGATGTTGGGACTCATCACCAAATTCCAGATGTATTTTAGGCATTGTCACCTCAGCACCCTGCCTCCCACACCAGCATCTGTGTTCATTTCCCTGGGCTGCTGGGGCAAAGTGCCACACATGGCAGCTTGAGCAACAGAACCCTGTTCTTTCCCAGTTCTAGAGGACAGGAGTCTGGGCTACAGCAAGCTGCTATCCTAAGTGCCACAGGGAGACTCTGTCACAGACTTCTTCCAGCTCTAAGGTCATAGTGGGTCAAATCTAGTTGAGAGGAGCTCATGCTGGCTTGAGATGGGCATCAAACCCCATAGGATGGCATTCTTGGATCATGGTAGTAGGTCCATAGGCACACACATGGGGGAAGGCCATGACGGTGAAACAGTCATTGAGGTGTTGGTGCCAAGAGACAAGGGTTGGCCGAATACCATGGCTTCAGAGCTAGAAGAAGTCTTTCTGACGATTCTCCCTCCTCACCTTGTATTTGCAGGACTTCCCTCTCTGAGCTGAAGCCCATGACCCACCTCCCTCTTCTTTCTGCTCTAGCTCTGTGGCCAGGACTGTATCTGTCCTTCTCAAGTGGCTGCAGAGACTTTATCCTGTTCCTTCATATCTTTCCAGCAGTTGCCATAAACAGAGAGTTTGAATTTCTGAGTTGTTGACGAATCTCCGGGGCCTGGCACATTGCAGGAGTGGTACACACATCCTATATATCTCAGCCAGTTCTTCCCAAGGCACACCCAACATACCACAGACTTTTGGGGTAAGACCCAAAGTATTGCACTAGTTGGAAGCAGCACCAGGCCAAGACGGTGGGCTGGGGTACAGAGCAGAGAGCCAAGGCTGGAGGCTAGTTTCCAGATTCTGAATGCTTTTGGGAGATCAGGCCTGGGGTTTTCTCTGCCCGGCCTCCTTTCTTCCATCAGGGTGGACAGGCCAGAGTGCTGCCATTGCTGCCGGAGAGCGTGCTCTCCCCCTCCCTCTTTCCATCCCTCCTTTCCCTCTTTCTCCCTTAAGCCCCACCAGACTGCTCCGTTGCCAGTGAAGATAATCCCTAGGATGTCAACACTACAGGAAACGTTTGAAAACAAAACAAATTTCTTCACAATAAAGCAGGTTCACAAGATAAAGTATTTATTTCTAAGCAACATTTGTAGACAGTACAGTCACATGTGGCCCAGACCCTGCTTCAGGTTGCACAGGTTGACAAAGTCTTTAACCAGTCTAGAAAGAAGTCCATCTCAGAGCTCAAAGCTGGAGGGTGATACAGGAAAGATAGGAATAAGTTTATCAGTTTATACAGGCAGGTTCACCCCAGGCCCAGAAGTAATGTCCCTGTGGGAGGGTTTCTTGGTCTCTGATGTCCTTCCACGCTGTGAGTCACTTCACCTGCAGGTGACAGAGACAGTGTAAGTTGCTGTCCACTTTTAGGGAGTAGAGGTATGGGCAGTGAGGACTGGTGGCTCCCTGCCCTGTGTACTCAGCCCCACAATCACACTACCTTGAACAGCGTGACAGTGGTGCTATAGAAGAGGCTCAGGAGGAAGAGGACGATGAAGGTGGAGGCGGTGGTCCATAGGTTCTCAAAGCCTTCCTCCTCAGCATTCACCTCCCCCTCTGTGAAGGGACACACAGAGGGAAGGTCAAGCCAAGCCTTGGGGTGGTTAAGCATCTGCCTGAGGGTTGGAGAGTCTCAGCCAGTAGTGACTGGACCCCTAACAGCCCAAGCTAGACACAGCCCAGGTCAAACTGAGGGAGGCACCAACTTGGGGCCTCGTCCTAAGAGCACTGGGGCAGCAGAGCAAGCAAGACAGGTGAGGCACGCGGGCATGGGATGACGGCAGAGTCAGGAGCCCTGGTATAATGGTGTTGGTGTGTTCCGGACTTTCTCTGATCAGGGGGCACCCGAGGCTGTACCTCCTTACTTCTTGAAAAGCTCTGGTATCTCATGCCTCTCTCTGAGCAGAGTTCCTGTGGGTGGCTTGTCCTACTCCTACCAAGAGACAGACCAACACTGAGGGAGACAGAGGGACCAGGGCATTTGTTGGGGTCTTTGACTTCTGTAAAGATGAGCCCTTGGGGGATATCTAAAGCCCATGTCCCAAGTGACTAAGAATATGGAGAATTTCCAGGATGTGGGTTCAAGGAGGCAGTGTTATTGGGTGGTGAGTCCTTCTAGGGGTTCCTGTGACCCATGCTGGGGGCAGGACTCAGCTTCTTCTGGACAATTGCGTTATGTCTTCTGCATTCTGGACTGGGGACCAGGGTGAGTGTGAGTGGGACAAGCACTCTCACATTGATCTCCTGAGGTGTTCTACTAATGGAGGCACAGCCAAGGGCAGCTTTCTGCCCTTGGTGCAGGCTTGAACACCACTTGCTCTGTCTAGACACTGTCTTGTATTTGCTATAGGTGGTTAGTGGGCTATCTTCTGCCCTATGGTGCTGGGACAGGAAGGCATGCTCTCTTCTTGGAGCATTCTTCCCTAAGCACAGACTGGGCTCCCCAAGAAGTTTCAGTGACCTAGTCTAGTGAGGGTTCTCTGGGCCCCGAGTTCTGAAGATTATGGCCCTGGTCAGAGTCCAGGTATATCTGTGTGCCATGCCTGTCCACTTGTTAGTGTGCACATGTCAAGACGTTTCTGTACATGTGTGTGCATGCATGTCCTTGTGCCTATGTGGATCAGTTTTCTATATTTGTCTGTATTCTGTTTCTGTGTACATATGTCCATATGTGTTGGTATCTGTTTCTGTGTGTAGCTGTGTGTCTATGCCTGTTTATATGTCTCTGAAGGTGTTTGTGTCCATATGTGCGTGTGTGCACGAGCTCATGTGCATACATGTGTTCCTGAGTGTCAGGGTGGTTCTGTGTATGCTTTTATGAATGAATGCATATCTGTGCATGTGTCTGCACATATGTACCTATATCTGTGTATAAATACATGTCTGTCTGTGTCTGTGCATGTGCCTTAATGCTGCCTGTACCAGGATAGCCAAGCTTCTAGCCATATATCTAGATGTAGCTGGAGGGATGACATGCTTACACTCTGCGTGTTGTAAGCCTTCTTGAGTCCACACAGAAGGAGACAACTGGCAAGGGAGAGGAAGGGTCAAGGTGGAGGCAAGGCTGCAGGGTATGTGCAGGGCAAATACAACACAGCTGTTGCCCCAGCAGGCAAAAGCATTGCATAATCAAAACCAGCGACTTTTGAATGTTTTTGTTTTTATTTCTAATTTTTATAAAATGCAACATCTCAGTCTGACATGGTTAGTTTGCATACACAGAGCAGCTGGACCCCCAGAGCTTGCCTGGTTGGGGGCTAGCATGTCAGTAGCAGGTGCTGCCTGTGTCAGACATGATCAGGGATACATTGTACAGTGTGGGTTTACCAGTGGACTTGTCCACGGTCCTCTCGGTCACCATGTGTGGCAGGGCCTCATGGCCTACAACACAGGTGTAGGTCTCCCCGGAGTTCCATTCCTCCTCTGTCACGGTCAGGACGCTGTGGGTGAAGTAGAGGCCTGGGGCCTGGGGCTCCGGCATTGGGGCACCGGTCACATACTTGTCTGGGGACAAGAGTTGTCCCCTCTGAAGCCACTGCACAAAGATGTCTGCAGGAGAGAAGCCCGTCACCAGGCAGGTGACTGTGGCCGACTCCCTCAGGATCAGTTGCTCACGGGCTGGTGGCAGCAGGTACACAGCAGGTGGATGCTTGGCCACATCTGTAAGCAGAGACGGTGGTGAGGAGAGGAGCGGAAGGGCCCTGAGACTAGAGGGGAAAAGGGAGAACACCTACCTCTGGGCTTTGAGATGACTTTCTTCAGTGGTGAAGGCAGGTCCCTGTGGGTCACAGTGCACACAAATTCCTCCCTGCTGTCCCAATCTTCCACACAAACACTAGCCACACCTTTGGCGCTGAAGGTGCCATTGAGGTGGCTTTCAGGGGTTTCAGTGTTGGTCTCCAGTGGCTTACCACTTCGGGAAGCCCAGGAGATATTCAGGGTATCATAGGTTGCCAGGTTTGTGACCAGGCAGGTCAGCTTGGCAGTCTTGTTGAGGAAGATGTCCACAAAGGAGGGGGGGATGGGGAAGGCTAAGATGTCTGTGGACGGACCTGCAGCCAAGAGAACATTGGGTCAGTGACTGTCTGGTTGGGAAGTCAGAGAAAAATTTAGTCTCCATCCCCCAAATGGTACCAACTGAGCCTCTGAGGTTCTGCTGAAGGGAAGACCCTAGTCTTAGCCCTTGAAGGTTCAAGGAGCAAATACCCATGTTGGGGGTGGCATTAGCCATACTTGTAAGAGGGTTGCCCTGATCTGGGAGGGCTCATCACTGGGCTTAGGACAGGGTACTCACTAGCAGCACATGTGGAGGACACATTCTTCCAGAAGGTGAGACCCCTGTGATCCACACGGCAGCTGTACACATTCAGGTTCAGCCAGTCGCTTTCAGTGATGGTCAGCGTGCTCATGACCTTGTAGGTTCGGGATCCGGATCCTTTGTCTTCAGTCGTCACCGGCTCTGTGGTGAAGCCAGACTTCACAAGCTTCCCATCATGTAGCCAGGACACTGTGATTTGTTTGGGACTGAAGTTGGAGGCCTCACAGATAAGTCTGGACTTGCGTGGTACAGGTCCAGAGAAGGCATCACGTGGTGGAATGAACACAGTCACATTGGGGGGCATCTCCGTGACAGCTAGAGGGGAAGGACAAGGCGTGAGCTCAGCTTGGCCTAAGCCCTAGGGCCCTGCTCTCTCTGGGCCGTGCCTGGGCCTCTGCCCCCACTGGGAGGGGTTGGTTCTTACCTGGAATGGGCACACGTAGATTTTTGTTGTTGCTGCCATGGTGGATTTTGCATACCAGGTATTCATCTGAACCCTCAAGGACGTTCTTGGAAGACAGGAGTACCTGCGAGGTAGCTATATACTTGCCTCCCGTCCTCAGTGTTGGGAAGGTTCTGACACCCTGGTTGACTTCGGTGTTGTTCTGGTAGTTCCAGGAGAAGGAAATGGAGCTGGGCAGGAAGTCCCGTGCCAGGCAGCCCATGGCCACCATATTCCCGTCAGACAGGGGGCTCTCGCAGGAGACGAGGGGGAAGACGGTTGGGGGGGATTGACTCTCTGAGGACCAGAGAGGAATAAAAGAGAAACGGAGGGGTAAGAGTCTGTCTTCTTGTCCCCTGCCAGTCAGGGGACCTCTATACTCCCCTGCCTCTGTGACTGTTGCTCTTAAGGCAGATGGGGCTAGATATGGTAGTAGGTGAACCTGGCCTACAGGACAAAGCTGCTGCAGGCTATGGAGCCACCTTCTAGCCATAGAACATGGCTAGAACATTGGAAGCCTTTATGGACAGGGAGAGATCATCAGCCAGCTCCAGGGGCACTGGCACCTGCTCTCGGGGACAGTCCTAGATCCTGGCTTCTCATGTAGGCTTGGCCCTGCCCTGCCCTGCTTCCCCCTGAGACATGGGCTGAGAGAACCATTCTCATTCCAAAGCAATTGGAGGAGCCCATCGGGATGAGGCGGCGGTGGGGGAGGGGCTCAGGCTTCATACGCGCACACCAAGCTTGAATCAACACACCAGGCATGCTGCTTGGTTCATGAAACACCCAGAAGTCAAACTTGCTGCTGTTCCGAAGCCTCTCTAGCCAAGTAGACAAGGTGTGTCAGGGAGAAGGAAGGTGGGTTATGATGGGGGACCTCATGGATTCATCTGGAAATTTCACCTTGGCACACGTTCTACCCCGAACAAGGTCCTAGCCAAGCTGGTCCAGGCCTGGTGAAACTCATTCCGTTCAGCCTAGCTTTGCTCTTTCCGTTCCAGATCTGCCCCATCTCAGCTTAGCTAAACTGTTTCAGGCCCAGCTCACCCTAGCTCATCCCAGCTCATCTCATTCTAGCTTAGCTAAATCAGCCTGAGCCTAGCTAAATCCAGCTCAGCTCAGGGGAGTTCACACCCTACAGTTTAGCCCAGCCTAGCCTCCATAAGCTGATTCAGGCCTGGGTAAGCCTAGCTCATCCCAGCCCAGCTTAGCTCAGTCCAGTTAAGATTAGCCAGCACACCTCACCTGGCTCAGCTCAGGTCACCATCCCAGTTTAGCCCAGCTGGCTCAGCTCATCTTAGTTCATCCTAGCCTGGCTGGTCTTAGTTTAACTCAGTTTAGCCCTAGTCAGCCCAACCCAGTCCAGCTCAGGTCAGTTTAACTCAGCTTAACCAGCCTAGCCAAGCTCAGTCCTCTTCAGGTAGCTCAGCCAGTCCAGCTCAGCTCAGTTCATCCCAGCTCATCCCAGCAGCATTTAGCATAGCTCAATTCATCTTATTCCAGGACACCTCAACCCAGTTCATGGTAGCCCAGCTCAGTCTAGCTCAGCCTTATTCAGTTAGCCTACTCATCCTAGCTCACCATAGCCTGACTTAGTCTAGCTTATCCCAAACCAGCTCAGCCACCCCAGCTCAGTATACAGCTCATCCCACAGATAGCCCAGTTCAGCAAGTCAGCCCAGCTCATCCTAACTCAGCCTAGTGTATCCCAGCTCAGCAGGTAGCCCAGTTCAGCCAAGCTCCACTTCCTAAGCTCAGCTCAGCTCAGCTCAGCCCAGCTCCGCTCATCTGAGTCTGGCTCATCCTGGCTCAGTATAGCTTAGGCCAGCTGAGCCCAGCCAAGGCCATTCCAGCTCATCCTGAACCAGCTCAGCCAACCCGGCACAGCTCAGCTCAGCCAACCCGGCACAGCTCAGCTCAGCCTAGGTCATCCTAGCCTTGGGTGTCCCAGCTAAGGTGAGCTCAGTTAGTACAGTTCATCCCAGCTCAGCTCACCCTACCTCAGCTGACCACAGCTCAGCTCACCCCAGCTCAGCTCAGCTCACCCCAGCTCAGCTCAGCTCAGCTCAGCTCAGCTCAGCTCACCCCAGATAAGCTCACCCCAGCTCACCCCAGCTCAGCTCACCCCAGCTCAGCTCAGCTCACCCCAGTTCAGCTCAGCTCAACTCAGCTCACCCCAGTTCAGCTCACCCCAGCTCAGCTCACCCCAGTTCAGCTCACCCCAGCTCAGCTCACCCCAGTTCAGCTCACCCCAGCTCAGGCCACCCCAGCTCAGCTCAGCTCACTTCAGCTCAGCTCACTCCAGCTCAGGCCACCCCAGCTCAGCTCACCCCAGCTCAGCTCAGCTCAGCTCAGCTCAGCTCACCCCAGCTCAGCTCAGCTCAACCCAGCTCAGCTCAGCTCAGCTCAGCTCACCCCAGCTCAGCTCAGCTCACCCAGCTCAGCTCAGCTCATCCCAGCTCAGCTCAGCTCACCCCAGCTCAGCTCAGCTCACCCCAGCTCAGCTCAGCTCACCCCAGCTCAGCTCAGCTCACCCCAGCTCAGCTCAGCTCACCCCAGCTCAGCTCAGCTCACCCCAGCTCACCCCAGCTCAGCTCAGCTCACCCCAGCTCAGCTCAGCTCACCCCAGCTCAGTTCAGCTCAGCTCACCCCAGCTCAGTTCAGCTCAGCTCACCCCAGCTCACCCCAGCTCAGCTCACCCTAGCTCAGCTCAGCACACCCTAGCTCAGCTCAGCTCACCCCAGCTCAGCTCACCCCAGCTCAGCTCAGCTCAGCTCACCCCAGTTCAGCTCACCCCAGCTCAGCTCAGCTCACCCCAGTTCAGCTCATCCCAGTTCAGCTCACCCCAGCTCACCCCAGCTCAGCTCAGCTCAACCCAGCTCAGCTCAGCTCAGCTCACCCCAGTTCAGCTCACCCCAGCTCAGCTCACCCCAGCTCACCCCAGCTCACCCCAGTTCAGCTCAGCTCACCCCAGCTCACCCCAGCTCAGCTCACCCTAGCTCAGCTCAGCACAAACTAGCTCAGCTCAGCTCACCCCAGCTCAGCTCACCCCAGCTCAGCTCAGCTCAGCTCACCCCAGTTCAGCTCACCCCAGTTCAGCTCAGCTCACCCCAGTTCAGCTCATCCCAGTTCAGCTCACCCCAGCTCACCCCAGCTCAGCTCAGCTCAACCCAGCTCAGCTCAGCTCAGCTCAGCTCACCCCAGTTCAGCTCACCCCAGCTCAGTTCACCCCAGCTCACCCCAGCTCACCCCAGCTCACCCCAGCTCAACCCAGCTCAGCTCAGCTCAGCTCACCCCAGCTCAGCACACCCCTCACCCCAGCTCAGCAAACCCCAGCTCAGCTCAGCTCACCCCAGCCCTCAGCTCAGCTCAGCTCAGCTCATCCCAGCTCAGCTCAGCTCACCCCAGCTCAGCTCAGCTCACCCCAGCTCCCAGCTCAGCTCAGCTCAGCTCAGCTCAGCTCACCCCAGCTCAGCTCACCCCAGCTCAGCTCAGCTCATCAGCTCAGCTCAGCTCAGCTCAGCTCAGCTCACCCCAGCTCAGCTCAGCTCAGCTCAGCTCAGCTCAGCTCAGCTCACCCCAGCTCAGCTCACCCCAGCTCAGCTCAGGCCACCCCAGCTCACCCCAGCTCAGCTCAGCTCAGCAGCTCAGCAGCTCAGCTCAGCTCAGCTCACCCCAGCTCAGCTCACCCCAGCTCACCCCAGCTCAGCTCACCCCAGCTCAGTTCAGCTCACCCCAGTTCAGCTCAGCTCAGCTCAGCTCACCCCAGTTCAGCTTAGCTCAGGCCACCCCAGCTCAGCTCAGCTCACCCCAGCTCAGCTCAGCTCACCCCAGCTCAGCTCAGCTCAGCTCACCCCAGTTCAGCTCACCCCAGCTCAGCTCACTCCAGCTCAGCTCACCCCAGCTCAGCTCAGCTCACCCCAGCTCAGCTCAGCTCACCCCAGCTCACCCCAGCTCAGCTCAGGCCACCCCAGCTCACCCCAGCTCACCCCAGCTCAGCTCACCCTAGCTCAGCTCAGCACACCCCAGCTCAGCTCAGCTCACCCCAGCTCAGTTCAGCTCAGCTCACCCCAGTTCAGCTCACCCCAGCTCAGCTCACCCCAGCTCACCCCAGCTCAGCTCAGCTCACCCCAGCTCAGCTCAGCTCAGCTCACCCCAGTTCAGCTCACCCCAGCTCACCCCAGCTCACCCCAGCTCACCCCAACTCAGCTCAGCTCAACCCAGCTCAGCTCAGCTCAGCTCAGCTCACCCCAGCTCAGCACACCCCAGCTCACCCCAGCTCAGCAAACCCCAGCTCAGCTCAGCTCACCCCAGCTCAGCTCAGCTCACCCCAGCTCAGCTCAGCTCATCCCAGCTCAGCTCAGCTCACCCCAGCTCAGCTCAGCTCACCCCAGCTCAGCTCAGCTCAGCTCAGCTCAGCTCAGCTCACTCCAGCTCAGCTCACCCCAGCTCACCCCAGCTCAGCTCACCCCAGCTCACCCCAGCTCAGCTCAGCTCACCCCAGTTCAGCTCACCCCAGCTCAGCTCACCCCAGCTCAGCTCAGCTCACCCCAGTTCAGCTCAACCCAGCTCAGCTCAGCTCACCCCAGCTCAGCTCACACCAGCTCAGGCCACCCCAGCTCAGCTCACCCCAGCTCAGCTCACTCCAGCTCAGGCCACCCCAGCTCAGCAGCTCAGCTCCGCTCCGCTCAGCTCAGCTCAACTCAGCTCAGCTCAGCTCACCCCAGCTCAGCTCAGCTCACCCCAGCTCAGCTCACCCCAGCTCACCCCAGCTCAGCTCACCTCAGCTCAGCTCAGCTCACCCCAGCTCAGCTCAACCCAGCTCAGCTCACCCCAGCTCAGCTCAGCTCACCCCAGTTCAGCTCAACCCAGCTCAGCTCAGCTCACCCCAGCTCAGCTCACTCCAGCTCAGGCCACCCCAGCTCAGCTCACCCCAGCTCAGCTCACTCCAGCTCAGGCCACCCCAGCTCAGCTCACTCCAGCTCAGCTCACCCCAGCTCAGCTCATCCCAGCTCAGCTCAGCTCATCCCAGCTCAGCTCAGCTCACCCCAGCTCAGCTCAGCTCACCCCAGCTCAGCTCAGCTCAGCTCAGCTCAGCTCAGCTCAGCTCAGCTCAGCTCACCCCAGCTCAGCTCAGCTCACCCCAGCTCAGCTCACCCCAGCTCAGCTCACCCCAGCTTAGCTCAGCTCACCCCAGCTCAGCTCAACTCAGCTCACCCCAGCTCAGCTCACCCCAGCTCAGCTCAGCCATCCCAGCTCAGCTCAGCTCACCCCAGCTCAGCTCAGCTCACCCCAGCTCACCCCAGCTCAGCTCAGGCCACCCCAGCTCAGCTCAGCTCACCCCAGCTCAGCTCAGCTCACCCCAGCTCAGCTCAGCTCAGCTCACCCCAGTTTAGCTCACCCCAGCTCAGCTCAGCTCAGCTCACCCCAGCTCAGCTCAGCTCACCCCAGCTCAGCCCACCCCAGCTCAGCTCAGCTCACCCCAGCTCAGCTCAGCCCACCCCAGCTCACCCCAGCTCAGCTCACCCCAGCTCAGCTCAGCTCACACCAGCTCAGCCCACCCCAGCTCAGCTCAGGTCACCCCAGCTCAGCTCAGCTCACCCCAGCTCAGCTCAGCTCAGCTCACCCCAGCTCAGCTCTGCCCACCCCAGCTCACCCCAGCTCAGCTCAGCTCAGCTCACCTAAGCTAGCCTGGCTCATCTGAGCTCAGCACAGTCTACCTCATTCTATCTCATCAAGCCCAACTTTGCTTGCCCCTGAATGATTACCTTAGCTTTGTACATCTCAGAGAAGCTGAGCATTTTTAAGTGCAGGTCACCCATCTCAGCCCAGCTCTGCTTGCTAGAGCCTAGTTTACCAGGGCTCTCAACCTCGTTCATGGAATTTCTCTGTCTAGCTCTCTGCTGTGGCTGGGATGGTAATGGCCAGGAGCGTTGGCCCAACCAATCCATTTGCCCCAGCAGCCGCCGTCTTTTTCTCAATGCTGTCCAACTGTGGACTTCATTCTGAATATCCACACTCTGGTCCCTGCTCTTCCACACTGACCTTGGCTGCAAAGGGCTGTCCTTTGATACCATTCTTTAACAACCATGAAGTATATTTACTGGCAACTTCCAATTCATTAGACCATCTTGAGACGTAGATCAAGAATGTCATAATGTTTTCCATAAAAACTAAAAACATCTTTTCCTCCAGAATCCCAGCATTACCTCCTTAACTTGGGTCTCTTTTACTGAGTCTCAATTAGCCTCTACTTTAAATTCCTTCTAGATTAAAACCACCATTAGCAACCACTGAGGCATTCATTTTATCTATTGCTTAAGACGAGGCGGTACTGATACAAAATTCAAAGCCACATGTGTAAGTGAGGCAGAGTCAGTACCAGCACCCCAAGTAATATGCTTAATTGAAATAATTCCAGATAATCACATACACTTTCCCTAAGATTTCCTTAAAATACCAGAGCCACATAAACAATGGTTAACAAGCAACCTTTTTCTTTTGCTTTTTTTTTTAAAGAGAAGTTAAATGTGAGTGACCCAGACAATGGCACTCAAAAGATGGACAAATGTCCTTTTCTCCTCCTAAAGCAGTGACTAAAGACTAAGTCCCTCTCAAGCAGAAGCAATCATCAAACACAAGCTTTAAGAGAGGCAGCCACAGCTGTGGCTGCCTCTGGCTTACCGTTTGGGGTGCTTGGTTTCAGGGAGGTCCAGGGTCTTTGTGTGGAATTGTTCCTTCAAGGCCATCGAGACTGGCTGGTCCATAAGCAGCCAGGTGGATGGGTGGCAGAAGCCACAACTGTGCATTCCCAGGTCTGGGTGGTCCTGGGAGACCCAAAGTCTGGGTCTGCCCAGCAGCAACCTGGTCTCAGACCTTTGGCCAGTTCTCCAACAAGAAGCCGGGCCAGTGGGAGTTCAAACAGAACATGTCCCTATGGACTGGCTTAGATGCCTTCTTTCTTTTGCACTATCTGACCGAGTATACTCTCAGCCACCAATTGTATGTTCAACTGAAATAATTCTAGATAATTGCATTCATTTGTAAAAGCTATCTCTTAAAATGAACACTTAGAAAGTGGTCTTGAAAAAGACTTAGGGAGCCATCTTTACCAGAAAGTCAAAGTCATTCTTAATCATAAACCAACTAGCTTAAAAAATCATGAACAAAGTTACTTGTAAATACTTTGGGTATTGGAAAACGAACTTAGTTGGGATCAGTGATCAGAGGGAAGAATAATAAAGTGATTTTAAAAGATTTTCTAAATACATTAGAAATTAAATACATTAAAGCCCTTTAATTTCTTACATAGTCTAACTTTGAAAATGAATATACATTTTAGAAGTTGATAAACTTGAGTTTGGGGAAACTAGAACTTCACAAGCTAAAATTGAAAGATTGAACTCACTAAATTAAAAGAGGACCTTTCCAGTTTCGACTGAATGCTCAACTTATTTTAGAAATGCAAATTACCCAGGTGTTGTTTTGCTCAGCCTGGACTTCCAGTTCTGTGGGCTGGGCAAAACATCTCAAAACTACTTCTTCAAACCACAGCTAGAACTTTACCTAGTGGCTTTATTTTCTTCTTCCCAAAATAGCCTTGTCACATGACCTGCTTCCTGCCAGCTGCCCCAGGTGTCCTGGTCCTCATCGGCCATCTTGACTCCAACTCAACTTTGCTCAATTCATTTAAAAACATTTTAAACTTAATTTATTATTATTAAAATCCAGTTCTGAATGTGGCGTGAAAGATCCTCATCCCCATTCCTCAGCTGAACTTGCAGGAATACCAATTTTAGAAAAACATGACTTCAAATTGAGTGACTAGAATTTTTGATACTAGGACACTTAAAAAAATGAGTACTTGAAAAAAAATCTCTCACATTTTAAAGTCACAGTATGCTAGCTATTTTTCCCCAGGAACCACTTTAAGGATAAAAATAATATCTTCTAATATTCCACATGAACACTTCTGTGTTTCTTTGGAACACTGGACTTCTGTGGGCTCCCCAGACTCCTCTAGGTAGCAGTTACCTTTTTGAGATGAGTCCACTATCTCTAAGACCAAGGCTAGCTGCCTTCCTTGCTCGATTCACTCACTCAGACAGTTCTCTTCCCAACGAATAAGGTTTTGAACAATCTAGTGCAGAACACTCCTCACGAATCTAAAGAAAACGTTCCACTCCACTCTCTCTGCCTGTGCATCCTGCCACTGTACAAATGCTGACACAGAAAAAGCGTATTTCTCAGCCAACACGGTGACTTCAAAAACTGAGTCTCTCCCACCACAGCTCAAACTATCCCTCCAGCCATGGATCTTTTTAGCATCTCACTCAAACAAGGCCCTCAAGTCCCCTGCCCCATTATCCAGGGTGTCCACCAATACATCAAACAGGACCTCTTCTAATAGTTTTTCAAAGGTGTAGAAATATTCTTAAGACTCTGAGATACCTAGACAGTTTAGTCCCTAACCTCTCCCGCCAGCCCTCAGGGACAAATCTCCAGGTCTAATCTGCAATGCTCAGAAAACTCCATAGGCAAAGGTTAAAAATGAAGGCCCAGATAGGCCATTCTTACCTGAAGAGACGGTGACTTGGGTCCCTTGACCCCAGAAGTCCATAGCATAGTAATCACAATGGTGAAATTTCTATCCATATCGCACAAAAAACCCCAGAGCCTGCCTAGAATCACCCCTGGGCAACTCAGGCACCATGCCGACTCCCAGCACGCCACAAGAACCAACCATCCAAGTCCTTGGTCCACACTCCGTTTCTTGCCTGGGTAGAGGTCCCTGGACCTCTCTTTAGTTTTCAAGGTGACCCATATTCTAGCCTCACCTCTGAGAAACCAGACAGCTGCTGGCCCTGGACTTTTTACCATGAACTGGCAGCCCCTAATTCACATAAGAGTCTGATAATCCTAGATGGGAGCCTACTCCAGATTTCAAGCCGCAATTCTGGCAGACCCTTTACCACATATCAGTCCCAATATTACCACAGACCAGTGGGTAGAGAGCCTTGACTCAGACCCCTGTGTCTCAATTTTGGGGCAAAGGGATTGAATCTCAATTCCCATTTGCCGAGTCTTGGTCCTGAATGCTCAAGAGTCCCCCCCGCCCCCAAGTGCATTTAGAATGGGAGAAGGTAGGACTCACCTGAAGAGACAGTGACCAGAGTCCCCTGGCCCCAGTAGGCAAACACATTGTGACAACCATGATAAGACCCCGGACAATAAATGGCCCTTGGCTACAGCCCCAGGATCATCTCAGATTGGGCCCAGTGAGGGATAAGAATAGCGAGGATAAGGGACCCTAACGGCAAGGGTGGCCAGGATCACCATAGGCCCTTGGCTGTAAAGTCTGGGAGCTGAGGATGTCTGTCTGTGTCAGCCAGGATCCATGAAGACCCCTTCCTTACTCCCAGGTTGTTCCTAGTCCTTCATGACCTGAAACTCAGATACACTCATTTCCCCCCACCACAAATGCAGGAAAATCTGTCTGAGCTGAGCAGAAGAGAGAGGCTGTAAGGACTCACCTGAGGAGACGGTGACCATGGTTCCTTGGCCCCAGTAGTCAAAGTAGTCACACTGTCACAAGCCCCTTTAGTGGGTGTACAAAAACCCCTACCTCTATCCATCTAGCCAAACAACAGAAAGGTCTGTCTCCTATGGCTGTCACTGTCCCACAGGTTGTAGCCTCTGCCTGCCTCTTATCCTGGGAGCAAAGACTTCACACTTACAGAAAAACCTATGCAGTCCTCAGAGTCTGCAGATAGGCCGACTTGGGGAAATCTGAGAGTATCTTTTCCAGATTCAGAATGGAGGATGCAGAAAGAAAGCCAGCTTACCTGAGGAGACGGTGACCTGGGCTCCTGTGCCCCAGACATCAAAAGCATTGCACAAGAACACAACTCCTACCGCTGCCCAAACAAAAACCTGACCCCCATCTGGACTGGACACAAATCATCTAGAGACCCCAGAGACTTGGCTTGTTGCCAGAGAGAAGGTGGTAGCCAACAGAGGAGATCTCACCTGAGGAGACGGTGACCAGGGTCCCCTGGCCCCAGACATCGAAGTACCAGTAGCACAGCATATATTCTGCCTCTGTTCCTATACTAAAACCTTCTCCACTGCCTGACTTGGAACCCCACAGTCCCCAGATGGGTTACTTACCTGAAGAGACGGTGACCAGGGTCCCCTGGCCCCAGACATCGAAGTAAGCATAGGCACAGTGAGGTAGCCCTGCATCCAGGGCCATAAAAAACCCAGCCCAAAGTCCCTTGGAGCCCCCAGGGGGCTGGCTTCAATCCCCAGAAATGTAGCTGTTTGGAGAGACCTCCACCAAGGCTCAGTTGGATGGGGTGTGCCTGTAGGACGGTACCTTTCAGGCTAGACTGGGCTAGCCTAGTGAGACCCTGCAAAGAGAAGAGAAGAAGGAAGCAGGAGAAGAAGCAAGGGAAGGAGAGGGGAAGCCGCACCTACCCTGTACTCTCAGCAAACCCCACCCGCCTCGCTCTGGCCTGGGAGCCTCTCATTAGCCCTTGGTAGGGCCCTGCAGCCTTCTGCTGCCTGTGTCCTTCATGCCTTCTCCACCTAGGAGCCCAGGACCTGTCCACAGGAACTCCCTCTCCCTCTGCACTGGTCTCCTGCCTTCCAGGAAGTTACCCTTCCTCTTTGACCCACTCTTTCTCCTCTAGCTTCCTCAAGCTCCCAGGCTGCCCCTGGAAAGCTCCAAACAGAAGGTTTTTGTTGAACTATGAGTCACTGTGGCCCCAGTTAACACTGTGGTTCTCTGCTCAGCCAAAACCTTGCATCAGTCACAGACCACAGAGTATGGAGAGCCCGACCCCCAAATTGTCAGTCATCTCTCACGTCAGGGACCAGTGATTTTTCTCAAAACAATTACTAAAGCTCTGGAGCCTGTGGGGGCTTTTCTTCTCTTTGAAGTAAGAGCAGATGTGAGGCGGGGCTGCCTCCATCTGTCACTGACCTGTGTTTGAGGCGTTTATGAGCTATGGAGAAAGGTCTGTGATGGTGTTGGGGACAGTGTCCCTCCACGGGCAGTCATGGAGGGACTTTATCTTTATCTGCCACTGGGTATCTCTGCAGTGCACTTGGGTGCCTGTCAGGTGCCCAGGCTGTCCTTTGCTTTCTGATCATATTCATACAACAGGAAAGTGACCTAAATTAAAGTCTAAAGTGTCTTCTCAATGGTCCTGAAGGGGCAGCATCTCTGGTGCTGTGTCATCCGTGCTCAGGGTGGATGCATCCCCTCCTGGTCTCTACCAGAGCTTCTGGGTCTCCATAAGGGGTCTTAGCTCTGTCCTGGGTGGCACAGGGACAGTGCTCTAAGAGAAATTTCTTTTGCCAGTGGTCTTCTCTTGAAGGAGAAGTCTTGGGGTTGGATCCCAAGATAGGAAAGAGTCTGTATTTACCTATGTGAGTTTGTACGGAGCTGGGCCTTACAGGCCAGTAGTGGGTGCTTAGGGAGCATGGAGGTTTGTAGCCCCAAGCTAGGCATGAGACTCTGGTAAGTAAGGACCTGGGGGACACAGATGGTATGGGGTAATCAGGAGACAAGGTGACTTTGGCCTGGAGATCTGGGACACAGGTGGTATGGGGTAATCAGGAGACAAGGTGACTTTGGCCTGGAGATCTGGGACACAGGTGGGGTGGGTGAATAGGAAAGGTGGTGTGTAGCTAGAGAGTTTTCTCTCTGGGACCCACCAAGCCCCAGCAGTCCGACAGCCCACTTATAAAATAAACACACAGATGCTTATATTATTTAAACTGTTTGGCCTAATGGCTCAGGCTTCTTGTTAACTGTTCTTGTATCTTAAATCAACCCATTTCTATTAATCTATACTTTGCCACGTGGCTCATGGCTTACCGGCATCTTCACATGCTGCTTGTCATGGCGGTGGCTGCAGTGTCTCTCTGCCTCAGTCTTCCACTTCCCAGAATTCTCTTCTCTGCTTGTCCCGCCTATACTTCTGGCCTGGCTACTGGCCAATCAGTGTTTTCTTTATTAACCAATCAGAGCAACACATTTGACATACAGAACATCCCACAGCAGTGGTGTCTGACTTGGAGACCTGGGGACATGGGAAAGTGAGGTGAGTAGGATGGGGAGTGGGCTGCAGTCCAGAGGATCCCCTCTCTACACTGTGTTCTGAGCTCTAAGAGTGAGGAACAGAAGAGGACCAGCCTTCCTTGTTCTCCTGGCTGGGGTCCTGTTCCCTGGAGGAGCTCTAGATCTTAGACCCTCAGGTCTATCTTAGGTGGTCTCTTGAGAGAAGGAGGGGTAGGGCTGCCCCATGCTCCCCAGGGGATACCTGCTCCTGCTGTGGTACATCAGTCACTAACAAGGGAATGGAAGGTACCTTCTATGGACTTCCTAGCCCACAGTTTGGACACTCATAGGCTTTCTTCCTTACTCACTGCAGAGGTCTAGCTAAGCTACAGGCACTATTGCCTGCCTGGGTCTTAGTCCTCTCCTATGATGTAATATGCCTTGTAGGCTGCAGTGTGACAGGATTTGACATCCCAGGAGGAAGCTCTGGACCTTCCTGTCACCTCTCAGCTGTGCAGAGCTACGGTGGATCACTATCACACAATAAATCCACCTATCTACACTTCTGTTTTCTGTGTGCCTCTTCTGCAGTAACCATGGTCTAGGTCTGCAGACCTCCTCTGCCCTACCTGTTTTGGACATGTGCCAGGAAAAACACATGGGTGTTCTAGTTTGCTTTTCTGTTGTATATGATAAATACACAACCAAAAGCAACTTGGGGAAGAAAGGGTTTGCTTCATCTTATAACTTAAAAGCTATCACCCAGGGTTGGGGATTTAGCTCAGTGGTAGAGCACTTGCATAGCAAGCACAAGGCCCTGGGTTCGGTCCTCAGCTCCAGAAAAAAAAGCTGTCACTGATGGAAGTCAGGGTAGGAACATAGGAAGAGATGAAACAAGAGTCATGGAGGAATGCTGCTCGTTTGGCTTGCTCCCTCTGGCTTGCTCAGCTATATTTCTTCTTTTGGGGGGGAGGTAGGGATGTTATTAACTGGTAGATTACTTACCTAACAAGCACAGGCATTAGGTTCTATCCTCAGAACAAGAAAGGAATGTATATACCAGTCTTATTCATAACAACCACGAATAAGAAAGAGCTCAAATGCCCATCAGTTGGTGAAGGAATAAGCAAATTATAAATTATTTATATAATAGAGTACTATTTAGCCACAAAAGGGAGATGCGTTCTTTTATATAATAATATGGATAAATATTAAAAAACCAAAACAATACCATGCTGAGCCAAAGAATCAGCTATATTTCTTATATAGTCCAGGCCCAGCTGCCTAAGTACCACCCACAGTGGGCTTGGCCTTCCTACACTAGTTATCAGTCAAGAAAAAGGCCCCCAGACATGCGCATAGGCCAGTCTGATGCAGGCAATTCCCCAACTGAGGTTTTAGCTTTCCAAGTGTGTCAAGTTAATAACCAAGATTAGCCATTATAGTGTCGCAGACATGTGCCCTCAAAGAGCCAGGTAAGGAACTGGGCCTGTACAGTGAGATGTACTGGCCAGGGCTGAGTTGGTTTTCCATCCTCTGCCCCACAGCTGGAGTCTTCTGGGACCCTATCCCAGGTACCCTATCTTGTCTGACCTTGTCCTGTCAGACTGTGTCCCGGCAGTTTTCACCCTGTCCCACCCTACCTGTTCAGCTCCACACCTTAACAGATTCTGTCCCAAGAATCTAGTTCTTGGCATGGCTACTCTGAATGGGACCTGGGTCTCAGCTGAGGACTGAACACTCAGGTAGGTGGAAAAGTCACTCTGGACATTCATCTCATGTATGAGTCAGAGCAGGTCCGTTGAGCTGCTGCTGAGAGCAGTTGGTGAGCTGTGGGTGCTCCTATGGGATGTAGAGCTATGCATTTGAAAGATGGTTAGAAGCAACTTTCACTCCATCATCGAACTTCTGGATCAAGATGTCTGGCACAGGAGGTATCAGACATGATGGTTGGCATGTGCTTTGGAAGACAGTGACAATGGACAGCTTAATCAAGGGTCCAGGTCCTGAAGGTGGGGCCTCTGAGCCTTGGTGTGCTGGGCTGGCTCTGGCAGTATTTTCCTAGGGCCTAGCACTGCAGTGGACAAGGCAGTTGGAATAGGAATACTCCTGGTGTCCAGGCATGGGAGAGTGCGTTGTCTCTAGGTTTGACTTCCTACTGCCTCTGTCCTGGAGAGCTGTTCTCCATGTTCTTGAGGCCACCACTGTCTGGGTATTTCACTCCAGAAGGGAGTGACCTAGGCACACATCAGGAGTAGAAATCTTCATTCCCTTAGCTTTGGTCAGAAGCAATACAAGGGCACATGTAGTGGCAAACCTAACAGCTGTCAGAAGTTACTGAGAGAAATAAGTAAGCGAAGAGCTACATATAAGGTATGTGATGCTTCCTCACGAGTTATTTGTCAGGGATTCCCCGTTATAACTACGCGGTAAGTTCCTATTGCTGAAGACATCACACTTTGAGACTGAGACATCAGTTTCAAACTTACTGGGAAGATCCCTCTCTGCTGGCTAGTTTCCATAGTATT